GACCTCTAAGTGACCTCTCTCATGACCCCAAGCTGACCTGTGTGACCTGGCGTCTCCCAGATGACCTCCGTGACCTCCAATTGAGCTCTGATGACTCCAAGCTGACCTCTGTGACCTGTTATGTCCCAGATGACCTCCAATTGAGCTCACTGATGACCCCAAGTTGACCTCTGTGACGTGACGTGTCCCATATAACCTCTGCGACCTCTAAGTGACCTCTCTGATGACCCCAAGCTGACCTCTGTGACCTGGCGTGTCCAAGATGACCTCCAATTGAGCTCTCTGATAACCCCAAGTTGACCTCTGTTACCTGACATGTTCCAGATGACCCTCAATTGAGCTCACTGATGACCCCAAGTTGACCTCTGTGACTTGACGTGTCCTATATGACCTCTGTGACCTCTACGTGACCGGTCTGATGACCCTAAGCTGACCTCTGTGACTTGATGTGTCCAAGATGACCTCCGTGACCTCCAATTGAGCTCTGATGACTCCAAGCTGACCTCTGTGACCTGATATGTCCCAGATGACCTCCAATTGAGCTCACTGATGACCCCGAAGTGGACCTCTGTGACGTGACGTGTCCCATATGACGTCTGCGACCTCTAAGTGACCTCTATGATGACCTTAAGCTGCCCTCTGTGACCTGACGTGTCCCAGATGACCTCCGTGACCTCCAATTGAGCTCTGATAACTCCAAGCTGACCTCTGTAACCTGATATGTCCCAGATGACCTCCAATTGAGCTCAATGATGACCCCAAGTTGACGTCTGTGGCGTGACGTGTCCCATATGACGTCTGCGACCTCTAAGTGACCTCTCTGATGACCACAAGCTGACCTCTGTGACCTGACGTGTCCCAGATGACCCTCAATTGAGCTCTGTGATGACCCCAAGTTGACCTCTGTGACTTGATGTGTCCTATATGACCTCTGTGGCCTCAAGTGACCTCTCTGATGACTCCAAGCATACCTCTATGACCTGACATGTCCCAGATGACCTCCAATTGAGCTCTCTGATAACCCCAAGTTGACCTCTGTGACCTGACATGTCCCATATGACCTCTGTGACCTCTAAGTGACCTCTCTCATGACCCCAAGCTGACCTGTGTGACCTGGCGTCTCCCAGATGACCTCCGTGACCTCCAGTTGAGCTCTGATGACTCCAAGCTGACCTCTGTGACCTGTTATGTCCCAGATGACCTCCAATTGAGCTCACTGATGACCCCAACTTGACCTCTGTGACGTGACGTGTCCCATATGACCTCTGCGACCTCTAAGTGACCTCTCTGATGACCCCAAGCTGACCTCTGTGACCTGGCGTGTCCAAGATGACCTCCAATTGAGCTCTCTGATAACCCCAAGTTGACCTCTGTTACCTGACATGTCTCATATGACCTCTATGACCTTTAAGTGACCTCTCTCATGACCCCAAGCTGACCTTTGTGACCTGACGTGTCCCAGATGACCTCAGTGACCTCCACTTGAGCTCTGATGACTCCAAGCTGACCTCTGTGACCTCACGTGTCCCATATGACCTCCAATTGTGCTCACTGATGACCCCAAATTGACCTCTGTGACCTGACGTGTCCCATATGACCTCTGCGACCTCTAAGTGACCTCTCTGATGACCTTAAGCTGACTTCTGTAACCTGACGTGTCCCAGATGACTTCCGTGGCCTCTGATGACTCCAAGCTGACCTCTGTAACCTGATATGTCCCAGATGACCTCCAATTGAGCTCACTGATGACCCCAAGTTGACCTCTGTGACGTGATGTGTCCCATATGACCTCTGCGACCTCTACGTGACCGGTCTGATGACCCTAAGTTGACCTCTGTGACTTGACGTGTCCAAGATGACCTCCGTGACCTCCAATTGAGCTATGATGACTCCAAGCTGACCTCTGTGACCTCACGTGTCCCATATGACCTCCACTGATGACCCCAAATTAACCTCTGTGACCTGACGTGTCCCATATGACCTCTGCGGCCTCTAAGTGACCTCTCTGATGACCTTAAGCTGACCTCTGTAACCTGACGTGTCCCAGATGACCTCCGTGACCTCTGATGACTCCAAGCTGACCTCTGTAACCTGATATGTCCCAGATGACCTCCAATTGAGCTCACTGATGACCCCAAGTTGACCTCTGTGACGTGATGTGTCCCATATGACCTCTGCGACCTCTACGTGACCGGTCTGATGACCCTAAGCTGACCTCTGTGACTTGACGTGTCCAAGATGACTTCCGTGACCTCCGTGACCTCTGATGACTCCAAGCTGACCTCTGTAACCTGATATGTCCCAGATGACCTCCAATTGAGCTCACTGATGACCCCAAGTTGACCTCTGTGACGTGATGTGTCCCATATGACCTCTGCGACCTCTACGTGACCGGTCTGATGACCCTAAGCTGACCTCTGTGACTTGACGTGTCCAAGATGACTTCCGTGACCTCCAACTGAGCTCTGATGACTCCAAGCTGACCTCTGTGACCTGATATGTCCCAGATGACCTCCAATTGAGCTCACTGATGACCCCAAATTGACCTCTGTGGCGTGACGTGTCCCATATGACCTCTGCGACCTCTAAGTGACCTCTATGATGACCTTAAGCTGCCCTCTGTGACCTGACGTGTCCCAGATGACCTCCGTGACCTCTGATGACTCCAAGCTGACCTCTGTAACCTGATATGTCCCAGATGACCTCCAATTGAGCTCACTGATGACCCCAAATTGACCTCTGTGACCTGACGTGTCCCATATGACCTCTGCGACCTCTAAGTGACCTCTTTGATGACCTTAAGCTGACCTCTGTAACCTGACGTGTCCCAGATGACCTCCGTGACCTCTGATGACTCCAAGCTGACCTCTGTAACCTGATATGTCCCAGATGACCTCCAATTGAGCTCTCTGATAACCCCAAGTTGACCTCTGTGACCTGACATGTCCCATATGACCTCTGTGACCTCTAAGTGACCTCTCTCATGACCCCAAGCTGATCTGTGTGACCTGACGTGTCCCAGATGACCTCCGTGACCTCCAATTGAGCTATGATGACTCCAAGCTGACCTCTGTGACCTGTTATGTCCCTGATGACCTCCAATTGAGCTCACTGATGACCCCAAGTTGACCTCTGTGACGTGACGTGTCCCATATGACCTCTGCGACCTCTAAGTGACCTCTCTGATGACCCCAAGCTGACCTCTGTGACCTGACGTGTCCCAGAAGGGCCCCAATTGAGCTCTGCGATGACCATAAGTTGACCTTTGTGACCCTGACGTGTCCCAGACGACCCCCATCTCTCTCTCTCCTCTTCTCTCTCTCTCTCTCTCTCTCTCTCTCTCTCTCTCTCTCTCTCTCTCTCTCTCTCTCTCTCTCTCTCTCTCTCTCTCTCTCTCTCTCTCTCTCTCTCTTCACGTGCCGGTGTCGCGGGTCCTATAGGCAAATTTTGTACATACCAGTGTTGATCCCCAGTCTCTGACCGGACATGTATTTATCCTTCCCGCAGGAAGCCGGCGGCGGCGACGACAGTGCGCCGGCGCACATCTCTATGGAGGTGGACACGGCGACCCGTGGGCGACCGCCGCTGCCGCGGTTTGCTACAGGTGGCCATGGCCACTAATCTGTTGGAGGAGGCGCCCCCGGCACAGGTCCCAACCGCCGGAGACGCGGCAGAGACCGGGCAGTGGGCTGGCTTCCAGTCGCGATACGACGCGGTCGTGACAGCGTCTCAGTGCACAGGACTACCTGTGGACGATTGTTGAGAGACGGCGCGGGGCACCGATAGAAGCTTGTCTGCCGGAGATCAAATCCTGTCTGCTGGTGGTATATATGTAATGCCGCGTAGCCCGGTGTCCGTGATGATCTTTTAAGGCCGAGCTAAGCTACACTAAGCGTGACCGTTCAGGAAACTAGAAAGCACCCACGTGTACTGCGTGTTCGTGCTCACTGGATTTCTTTGATACCGGCCTCTACGATTATCCATATTTTCCTTGAGCTACCGTATGCCCACGTAAGCGTGATAACGAGCGAGTGCCATGCCGATAATACGATATGTATGAACAAGAATATCTTGTGATTGAAATTGCACAGCGATGTACTACCGAAGTTCATCGCTGAAAATTGCATCTAGACCTGTGTAATTTCTTACTGTTAGCTCGACAGTAGTTTCGGTAGCAGACAGTATGTATACTACTTGTGTCTTGTAGACAGTAGAGCTCGTCTTGACGGCGAAATGTCATTGTCCAATTTTTCACTGCCCGGCGACCGCGGGATGACATTAACAACACTGTATGTCACGCCGTGCACATTATGAGCTGACCTTTCCGTGACCTCTCACTGGTAGCCCGCTACATAGCCATGAGGGGTCGGTGTGTCTGTCGTTAGGCGTCCCGGCCGGTCCGCCGGTCTCCGGCTGTCTGGGTGACGAACGGCGTCTGTAGCGACCCCGCTCAGGACGCACCAGCCGCTGGCTCTCCGGCAGACGGCGCACGACCTGGGTGTTACCCGTTGCCATTATCCATTATCCATTAGCAATCCACATGTGCCTATGTCTGTTTTCGTTGTGAATAAATGTTTGCCTTGACAAGCGAGTTGAAATATCTTTCAATCGCCCAGTGTCATTCGATGCGATGCCCCATCACATGCCGTCGAAAAGGCTATCTCACTCCACGCTGGGGCTCCTAGATTTTCGCGCCTGTTGGGGGAGGGGCTGAACCGTGAACCCCCCAGTGAAGGGGCTGAACAGCCCCCCCCCCATCCCCTCGATTCCAACTCAGCTCCTTGACTAGATACGTGTGTTGGTAGTATTAGAACGAGTATTAGAACTCCACCTGAGACGAGGCCACTTGCCTGGTGCCCTCACCCTGCTGACCTTGAAAGACTTGAGCCTTAACTTTTAGTGTAGCACAGATGCATGCTAAGGCGTGCCAAAGAACGGCGGCGCTACCGTCTGATCGCTTTCAAGATGGTCTCACTCTATTTCTCGTCAAAAACTGTAGCTTGATCACCAGGGTTATATATTAACTGTGAAACTGAACACGCCCAGCGCTGGCACACGCGCGGAGCGGCTTCACATGCGTATACTCTCGGTCATCACATGTGGGCATTACACGAGGCCCGGCCGAACAGAACTTGGTGCCGCTAGCGGCCTGGTAGTGCACGGTCAGGCACGGCTCGAAGCCGACGCCACTGACGACGGCGAAGCGCTCCATGTCCTTGACTAGCTGTGCGGGACCGATGCGGTCCTCGAAGCGGAAAGGTCCGCCGGTGAGTGGCGGGAAGCCGAGACCCAACACGCTGGCTTCGAGGTCGCCACGTCGAGACCTGTCAAAATGCGGTGCACTTAGGCCTACAACTGAGGCAACCACAATCACGAGTCAGGAGTCAGGTTAATGGTGGCAATGCGATTCATATAAATAGATTAAGCAAAGTAAATCAGGCTATGAACTGAATAATTCAAGTCACATCCACCTTCTCAGCTAGCAATGTGAATCTCTCACCGACGTCGGGCTCGTCTTCCATAGCCTGTTCGGTGAGCCCCAGAAGCCGGGCGCCATCCACAGAGCGGGCGACGAACGCGTCGGCGTACTGGGCCAGACCGAGAGAGCGCAGCCAGCCGCCCACCGGAACGCAGCTCCATTCAGAGACCTGACAAAGAACGGATCGGTCACTCTACCTGTACCATAACATTGCAATATTTTCACTGTCCACGTAGCCATCGGGAGTCGGTGTGCCGAACCCTACCTGTGTGGTAGCAGCGCGAAGCGGAGCGCTGGGCGTCGGGTCCACGGCGCCGGCACTTCCACCGGCCACAGCATCACAGCTCAGTCTTAACAGCCTAATATCAGCAAACATCCGTCTCTAGAAAACCAGCAGCACGTGACGTACCGCTAGTAGCCCTGTAGTGCTCGCAGCAGCGTCAAGCTCTCCTGGCGACCGACGAACAATGGACGGTCAAAGAAAGTGAGGGCAGGAATATGGTCAGGGTGGGATCAGATATACAACTTACGGGAGCTGACAGGAGCTGCCAGGAGCCTACGGCAGCTGTCATGAGCTGTCATGAACTGCCAGGAGCTAAAAGGAACTTACGGGAGCTGCAAGAGGTCCACGGAAGTTGACAGGAGCAAAACAGGAGCTTACGGGAGCTGCAATGAGCTTACGGGAGCTGACAAGCTGACAGGAGCGAGGTTACAGCTAGGCGAAGTCACAAAAGTCGGTATAGGTCACAGGAAAACAAACGAATGTCACAAGAAGTCACACGAAGACGACGGGTCCTACGAGGTCACAGGAAGTCAGGCGAGGGTGGGAGATGCCACTCAAAGCTCAGCGAGATAAAAGGTTGAGGAAAGCTCACGTGGTCATGCGAAGTCTCTAGAGGTCATATGAGATCACAAGGAATCAGTAGAGGTCAGATGAGCTTATAATAAGTCTGGCGACGCCCCACAAAGTCAAACAAGTTTTTTTTTCTTGTCGTGAATGACGTGTGGATGAGCTAGTATGTGTGAGGGAGATGTGCCATGAAATAAGCTGAAAGGCTTTTGCACCGATCCCAGACTGTAGTGTATGATGTCTACACATGTGAAAACATTCAATAAAACCGAGCAAACAAAACAAACAAAACAAGATCACGCATTGTCCTACGGTCGGGGAGGTCACACGAAAGTTAGGTGAGGTCACATGAGGTCATCGCAATAAAGCGGTTTCACTTCCATACTCATGTTACTTCCCCTTACTTTGCGTGACCTCGTGGGTCATCACCCGACAACTGCCCTCCCAAGTGCTCAGATACCTATCCATCTCGCCCCACCTGCGGACGAGTATTGGCGCCGCAGGACCCACCTGGTGAGGGAGGCTCCGTTCGGAACTGTCTCCGTGTCCGTCTCGATCCGGGCTCGCGGCGGTGACCAGCGCGTCCTCTGGCGCGTCACCAGTCGCAGCAGACCCGACGTCAGACGACGCAGCTCTGGCAACGCGGTCTGCATGCGGCCCCAGATGGCGCGCTGCCGAGAGCGCAGACGGCGTCACGTGGCTCCCGCAGCTGCCACCCGCCACCAGGGGGCAGGCGCCGTCCAGGGCCACCACCAGCTGCTGCAGCTCGGCCTCCCGGCGCGGCCGGCGCAGGGTCGGCGGACGCAGCGACAGCGCGCCGTCAGCCAGCGGCTCCAGCCGGGTCAGCGCCGGCAGGTCCTCGGGCGGCAGCTCGCGGCGCACAGTCTCCTCGGCGGCGGCACTGAGATCGCGCACGGCGCGCTGGAGCACTGAGAACTGGTGGAACGACGGGTGGTACCAGTCCCGCGCACGACCGGCACACAGCGCAACGAACTCGCCCGGAAAACGCACACTGTCACACGGTGCATCAGCGTCGCTCGATTCGATGGACGCGTCCCCACATCTAAGCACTGACTGGCGTTCACTGTCAGAAGTTCGTGACACACCCTGGCTAGTCTGTGTCAAATAGTCTGACCGGTCACCACACATAAAAAGAGTATTTTGGTCAGTGACACAGCCCGTGCGAGTCCCACACTCGTCGCAGTCGACGGGAGTCTGACAGCGTGGCACAGCTGTCCAACTCACTCATTTCACAATCATCAGCTGCCTCCAGCTCTCTGATGGCCGGCTGGCTCCAGGTCGGACCAGTTAACCACGAGCCGCTGCTAGTCTAGTGCTGCTCGGCCCCGTCCCCAGAGTGCTGCGCTGTGCCGCCGGCCGGCGCCGGCTGCCGCTCCGCCCAGTCAGCGGTGGTGACCAGCAGCTGACCGACCAGCCAGAGCAGCTGGTGCGCCAGCGGCGCCGGCAGTCGCGCCGGCTCCACCTCGCCGTGCGCCAGCCGGTCGCGCAGCCGCGGCCCGGCCGGCCACACGAGCAGGTCACAGAGCTGACAGAGCACGGCGTCCCCGCAGAGGGCGCGTAGCGAGCCCCAGCACCAGAAAGCCGTGCCACACCAGGTTACGGACGTTCAGAGTGCACGGCGGTCCGAGCAGCAGCCGCAGCAGGTGCACTCCGGTGTAGTTCCCAAGATGCTGACGAGTTTCGGCGCACTTATTAAGTCTTTGAGCAGGGGTGGAACCCGTGAACATTCCAGAAACAATATGTTACCAAGCCCTCGGTCGGTGGCAGTGCACAGTTCGGCCATGTGCAGAGTGGTGAGCCGCCGGTCCCAGCTCCTGTCCAGTCGGCGCACGCACGTAGGTTCAAACGGCAGCCACCGGGCGGCCAGCCGCCGCAGCCGCGCGCGCATCGTCCGCGGCGCGCAGCAGCCGCCGCAGCGGGCCGCAAAGAGACAGCGTGCCGCCGTAGCTGGGCGAGTCGGCCAGGCCAGGCATAAAATCCGCGACATCTGTCCACAGCAGAAGACCGTCACTGTCAACAATATTTAATATCGTCAATCACTTTCGTCATCCGTAGCTTGTTCGTGCAAATCCTCAAATAATTTCTGCACAAAAGGTGAGAGAAATGACGATGCATCATCGTGGGCATACCAGGCTTCCCCCACCCCCCGTTCGCCCTTTTCGATGATATTGACGTCAGTGAGGTTGAAGTCAACCCACAAGCAGACTATTCAACTAATGTGTAGCGTGATATGGTGATATCAAATTTCATTAAGTCTTCTTATAGTCTCACGTTGTGAAATCCGTGAAATACTCCCAGGTCAAGTCATTAATCCTTCGTAAGTTATATTCAACCAGTCATTCAAACAAAGCAAAGCATGGCAACGCGCGCGTCCGCCATTGAAGATGATTTTGATATGCACCGGTCATATTCAGTAAGTCGTAAGTACTATGACTACTTTTATTATTAAAATTCAAATTCAGTCATACCGTATTAGCGGAGAGCAGCCAGGTATAGGTTGGCCGGCGTTGGCACCCTCTGCGGTCTCAGCACTGCCGGCGGCCCAGAGGCAGGCTCGGCCATCTCCATGCACCGGCACAGAGGCAACGGCGCTACAGGCCGCTTTGTCGCCTTCTGTAACAAAAAAATAAAACAGTTCAGAGAACACACACACACACAAATGAACTAGCGGTTAAGGCCAAACAGCATCAAATTATGGGAACGTGTCTGTTTGCTTTTAACTGTTCTGTTAATACAAACGACGCCCATTAAAATAAAAAACAACAGCTGCATAAAAATCAGAATTCAATAAGCCGATCATGGAAACGGAAATACCCTGATTAAAAGCAAGAGTTTTAGTTAAGCCTTTTGATGCAACACAAGTGCGTTATGATGTACGGAATTGGGTGTATGGGTGAATATTTGAGTAACACGAACGAGTGGGGACTCGATATGGACTACTTCGGTTAAAGTCATGATCAATTGACACCTGTATCCGAATGAGGATGCTGTCTTCAAAATCGGCGGAATATGGTGCAGTGCTGCCGGTCGCGGTCGCGTGTACCAGCCAGCACACTCGGTAGCCGCAGCTCCACCCGTCAGCCTGTTGCGGCGTATCCGGGACGACGAGACGCCAACTGGCCCACTTGAGCTGGGGCACCGCCGCCTCCATGAGGAGCTGCACCGCCTCGGTGTCGCTCTGAGCCGGCGAACAGCCCATCGAGTTACAGAACACCACTACTTGGTGGCGCCAGCTCACCACGAACAACACCCAATGGTTGCCGACATTCAGCGGCAGCAGCCAGGTGTCCAGTGTGGCGAACCGCCTGAAGAATACCGCCGTGCAGCGTGTACATGCTGCCGCGATGCACTGACGCCAGAACACGGACAGCGCCAGCACCGGCGGAGAGGATACCGACTCGCTGAACAGGTCCAGATCCTCGTCGGTTAGCCACTTCCTGGAGACTGGTGTCTTCTTTCCTGGTAGAGGCGCTCGCTGCAGCTGGTCTGTGGCTGGCCGCGCTCGCTGCAGCTGGTCTGTGGCTGGCCGCGCTCGCTGAAGCTGCTCTGTAGCTGGCCGCGCTCGTTGCAGCTGGTCGGTGGCTGGCCGCGCTCGCTGCAGCTGGTCTGTGGCTGACCGCGCTCGCTGCAGCTGCTCTGTAGCTGGCCGCGCTCGCTGCAGCTGGTCTGTGGCTGGCCGCGCTCGCTGCAGCTGCTCTGTAGCTGGCCGCGCTCGCTGCAGCTGCTCTGTAGCTGGCCGCGCTCGCTGCAGCTGGTCTGTGGCTGGCCGCGCTTGTCCGGTAGGCCACTGTCGAGGTAGCGGTGGCGTTTTCTTCGGCTGCAGATTCGCCGGCAAACAGCTTTGCGGCGGTCTTGCCCGTGCGTACCACGTAGGTCTCTTCGAGTGGTCTCGCTTCGCCCAGTTTTCTTCCTGAGCCTCCGGGTGCGTCAGAGCGTCGAGAGCTTTGCGTTTTTTCCCCTTGGGGACGGGCCGGGTGGGCACCAAGTCGTCCTTCATCTTGGAGGCGGTGTCCTTGATAAGGAGGCGCACGAAATCGCCAGGCCGAAGACGTGTTCGTCCCACCAGGAGCTGCTTTTTCAGGACCCGCATGTGTGATTCTACGGCTGCGTTGCTGATCACACAGTCTGTAAGAATCTGGCTCCACAGTGGGGCTAGCGGCATGACCGCTCGCAGCAGGTACTCCACCAACTCCGGACAGAAGTACGGGTTTGTGACTTGTTTGACCGAGGCCTTCACGTCCTCCTCTCGGGCACGTCTGGCGACATCCTCAAAGTGCCGCCCGAATGACGTCCGTGCCCGGTAAGTCTTCGCGTGCTCGTCTTCGGGAACGGGATCTTTCTCGATCTCACCGTCGTCGGCATCACCGTCAGACCCTGCCGCCGCCGCCGAGTTCAAGTCTGACAGGTCCAGGTGGTCCACGCACTCAGTTGACATCGCCAGGATGCACAACTTCCTGAAGCACTGGTCTAGGGCCGGGAGGGACGACGCCTGCTGCATCTTGGCGAACAGCCACATGTAGCCCATTTTTGCGGCTCCCTCGACTCCCTTGCCCTTAAGCGTGCTGGAAAAGCTGTGAGAGATGTGGGCTCCACACAGGCTGATGAGAGAGGCCGGTCGCGGGTCCGAGTTGCTGACGGCTTTCCAACACGTCTCGAGGTAGGCCAGGGTCGTCGTTTTCATAAGACCCTCAGCCACGGCGTGTATCAGCGCCCAGCTGAAGTCGGTCACGATGCGGGGAGGCTCCAGGGTCGCTCTCGTCACCAGCCAGTAGCCGTGCGCCAGCTGGGAGAGGAAGTGTGCGACTGTGGGAACAGTATGGCTCTCCGCGAGGAGGTGTGCCAGCGGGTAACTTCTGGTCTCTGCCTCGGGGCTCTCGGCGATGAGGGCATAGAGAAATGGTTGTTTCTCGCCGACCTGGCGGGTCACGGAGCCGGTGGCGTCCAGGTGGAGCGGTGTCGGTGCTCGGTGGTACTTCCTTAGGAAGTGTTCTCGGTACAAGTGTACCACCAGCGGCACTTTGCCGATTAGCTGGACGCCGCCCTTCAGGATCTTGCTTGTCCCGTCCTCGGATCGAGACACGTCCATTGTCGAGGCCACGTCCTCTGACCAGTCGGCAGAATAGCGCTCGGTCGCGCGGCGCTCGTAGGCAGCTTGGCGCAGAACTGCAGCCGGCGGTGCTTGTGTCACATTTCCGTCGAGCAGGTGCGCATCGGGTGTCTGCTGCAACATCTTTTGCCTTATGAGATAGGCTCCCTGTTGGTCGACGAGAGCGGCGGTGGCATGGCGGCGCTCTCCGCTCAGGTGGCGGTGTGCAAAATATTTCTGATGAGCCGCGCTGGCAGATCCGAACACCTGGCAGTGGATGGTGGTTTGGCTCCCCGGCGCCGGCGGGTGGCGGACCACGAAACGGTACCGATGGCAGCCGGGGAATCGACAGGTAGCGAAAGTCGTGAGGAACGGCGTTTTGTTCTTCCGGGACCCATCTTTCTTGAGGTGCCGTCTGCGAATTGCCAGCACGCATTTCGGCCCAGGCGTGGACCGAATAAATGCTGCGGCAAACATAGTCGTCCATCCCTTCTTCAGTGAGTGTCCGGAAAAGACTTGTGGCACTTCTTCCTCTGTGAGCGAAAATTCGAATGCCGACGTCTCCGTCTCAATCGGCGTCTCCTGTAGCGTCTTCAGTCGCGGCTCCGGCTCCGGACGCGGCTCCGGGCGCGTCTCCAGTCTCGGTTCCGGCTCCGAACAAGGCTCGGGATCCGGTCCCAGCTCCATGCGTAGCTCCTCGGGCGGCTCCGGACGCGACTCCGGGCGCGGCTCCGTGCGCGACTCCGGGCGCGGCTCCGTGCGCAACTCCGGGCGCGGCTCCGGACGCGGCTCCGGGCGCGTCTCCAGTCTCGGTTCCGGCTCCGAACACGGCTCGGGATCCGGTCCCAGCTCCATGCGTAGCTCCTCGGGCGGCTCCGTGCGCGACTCCGGGCGCGGCTCCGTGCGCGACTTCGGGCGCGGCTCCGTGCGCGACTCCGGGCGCGGCTCCGGACGCGGCTCCGGGCGCGTCTCCAGTCTCGGTTCCGGCTCCGAACACGGCTCGGGATCCGGTCCCAGCTCCATGCGTAGCTCCTCGGGCGGCTCCGTGCGCGACTCCGGGCGCGGCTCCGTGCGCGACTTCGGGCGCGGCTCCGTGCGCGACTCCGGGCGCGGCTCCGGACGCGGCTCCGGGCGCGTCTCCAGTCTCGGTTCCGGCTCCGAACACGGCTCGGGATCCGGTCCCAGCTCCATGCGTAGCTCCTCGGGCGGCTCCGGGCGCGTCTCCGGACGTGTCTCCGGGCGCAGCTCCGGGCGCGTCTCCAGTCTCGGTTCCGACTCCGAGCACGGCTCCGGATTCGGTCCCATCTCCATGCGCGGCTCCGGGCGCGGCTCCGGTCTCGGTTCCATGCGCGGCTCCGGGTGTAGATCCGGTCTCGGTTCCATGCGTAGCTCCTGGCGCGGCTTCGCGCTCATTTCCAGTCTCAGTTCCGGCTCCGAGCACGGCTCCAGATTCAGTCCCAGCTCCATGCGTACTCGTAGCTCCGGGCGCGTCTCCAGTCTCGGTTCCGGCTCCGAACACGGCTCGGGATCCGGTCCCAGCTCCATGCGTAGCTCCTCGGGCGGCTCCGGGCGCGACTCCGGGCGCGGCTCCGTGCGCGACTCCGGGCGCGGCTCCGTGCGCAACTCCGGGCGCGGCTCCGGACGCGGCTCCGGGCGCGTCTCCAGTCTCGGTTCCGGCTCCGAACACGGCTCGGGATCCGGTCCCAGCTCCATGCGTAGCTCCTCGGGCGGCTCCGTGCGCGACTCCGGGCGCGGCTCCGGACGCGTCCCCAGTCTCGGTTCCGGCTCCATACACGGCTCCGAATTCGGCCCCATCTCCATGCGCGGCTCCGGGCGCGGCTCCGGTCTCGGTTCCATGCGCGACTCCGGGCACGACTCCGGGCACGGCTCCGGGCGCAGCTTCTGACAAAACTCCGGCGCAAAGTCTAGTTCCATGCCTGGTTCCGCCACAACCAGTCCGGTCGGCAGAACACAGAACCTCGGGATCGGAGTGGTTGGATTGGTGGATATGGCTGGTAGGTTGGACGAAGGCTCAGGCGCGAAGAGCTTCATCACTTGCCTAGGAACCAGGAAAAGGAAGACATTAAAAAAACATAAAAGGACGTTTGTAGCGACGTTAATATTAACGTCGTTTCATAACTTCGCTTTAAAACAAACTTCTGTTAAAAAATCGTTTAAACTGAAGTAGGCAATACATAAAACAAGCAACGGAAAACATAAACTGCGTAGGTATTGAAAACATACCTTTGGAAAGTCCCGCCTCTGATGAAACTTCGTCGGAGAGCACTCGCCCTTGCTGCAGCTGCCAAACGCTGTTTTTGGTTCTTTGGCTTCCCCTCCAGGTGTAAAAGTGAAGATAGCCAGAAGATATTTTTCGCTGGCGAATGCCCTCCTCTGGATGCCTCCAAAATGCCCTACAGGTGAAAAGAAAACATGATTCAAGTAGTAAAAATGCAAAAGGTGAGCTCAGTCCTGGCTGTTCGAAAGGGACAAAACATTTACAGTGTTGAAGTGAGGGCACAAAGGGGTCAATCATATCCACACATGACAACGAGCAGTCAAAAGGTAAAGGCTCAAACAACTCTTACTTTTTTGATTATATAACTATTATAAAACAACTATTTTTCCATTTTTCAAAGTAGAAGTGTAGTTGCATAGAACGATGGGTATGTCTGAGACCAAAATAACCACTTAACCCAAAAAAGTTACAGATGACAGCCTGAATCATCTGCTGATTATTCATAGATCAAATGCAGCTATGTGGTACATCAAGGAGGCATACGCATAAGCTATTCAGAACCTATTCATGATTCAGTGTTACTGAAATGTCTTACCGGTGCCAGGCTGGAGACAGAAGGCGTGTTTTCAGCAAGAGGGGGTCGTCCACCACCACCAGTTGGAGCCATGGTCGTGGTCGTGGGAGTCCTGGCTGTTCGAAAGGGAACGATTGGAGGTTACGGAGGTCATCTGGGACACGTCAGGTAACATAGATCAACTTAAGGTCATCACAGAGCTCTGTTGGAGATCATGGGGGTCATCTTGGACACGTCAGGTCACAGAGGTCAGCTTGTGGTCATCAGAGAGGTCACTTAGAGGTCGCAGACGTCATATGGGACACGTCACGCCACAGAGGTCAACTTGAGGTCATCAGTGAGCTCAATTGGAGGTCATCTGGGACATATCAGGTCACAGAGGTCAGCTTGGAGTCATCAGAGCTCAATTGGAGGTCCCGGAGGTCATCTGGGACACGTCAGGTCACACAGGTCAGCTTGGGGTCATGAGAGAGGTCACTTAGAGGTCACAGAGGTCATGTGGGACATGTCAGGTCACATAGGTCAACTTGGGGTCATCAGAGAGCTCAATTGGAGGTCATCTGGGACATGTCAGGTCACAGAGGTCAGCTTAGGATTATCAAAGAGCTCAATTGGAGGTTACGGAGGTCATCTCGGACAAGTCGTCACAGAGGTCAACTTGGGTCATCATAGAGCTCGATTGAAGGTCATGGGGGTCATCTTGGACACGTCAGGTCACAGAGGTCAGCTTGGGGTCATCAGAGAGGTCACGTAGAGGTCGCAGAGGTCATATGGGACACGTCAGGTCGCAGAGGTCAACTTGGGGTCATCAGTGAGCTCAATTGGAGGTCATCTGGGACATATCAGGTCACAGAGGTCAGCCTGGAGTCATCGGAGCTCAATTGGAGGTCACAGAGGTCATCTGGGACACGTCAGGTCACACAGGTCAGCTTGGGGTCATGAGAGAGGTCACTTAGAGGTCACATAGGTCATATGGGACATGTCAGGTCACAGAGGTTAATTTGGGGTTACCTATTGGGACATGTCAGGTCACAGAGATTAGCTTGGAATCATCAGAGAGGTCACTTGAGGTCATAGAGGTCATATGGGACACGTCAAGTCACAGAGGTCAACTTGGGGTCAACACAGAGTTCAATTGAGGGTCATGGGGGTCATCTGGGACACGTCAGGTCACAGAGGTCAGCTTAAGGTCAACAGAGAGGTCATTTAGAGGTCGCAGAGGTCATCTTGGACACGTCAGGTCACACAGGTCAGCTTGGGGTCATCAGAGAGATCATTTAGAGGTCACATAGGTCATTTGGGATACGTCAGGTCACAAAGGTCAGCTTGGGGTCATCAAAGAGCACAATTGGAGGTTACGGAGGTCATCTGGGACATGTCAAGTCACAGAGGTCAACTTGGGTCGTCACAGAGCTCAACTGGAGGTCATCTGGGACATCTCAAGTCACAGAGATCAGCTTGGAGTCATCAGAGAGGTCACTTGAGGTCACAGAGGTCATATGGGACACGTCAAGTCACAGAGGTCAACTTGAGGTCATGAGAGAGGTCACTTAGAGGTCGCAGAGGTCATATGGGACACGTCAGGTCACAGAGGTCAACTTGGGGTCATCAGTGAGCTCAATTGGAGGTCATCTGGGACATATCAGGTCACAGAGGTCAGCTTGGAGTCATCAGAGCTCAATTGGAGGTCACGAAGGTCATCTGGGACACGTCAGGTCACAGAGGTCAGCTTAAGGTCAACAGAAGGTCACTTAGAGATCGCAGAGGTCATATGGGACACGTCAGGTCACAGAGGTCAACTTAGGGTCATCAGTGAGCTCAATTACAGGTCATCTGGGACATATCAGGTCACAGAGGTCAGCTTGGAGTTATCAGAGCTAAACTGGAGGTCATGGAGGTCATCTGGGACACGTCAGGTCAAAAAGGTCAACTTAAGGTCAACACAGAGCTCGATTGAAGGTCATGGGGGTCATCTTGGACACGTCAGGTCACAAAGGTCAGCTTGGGGTCATCAGAGAGGTCACTTAGAGGTCGTGGAGGTCATATGGGACACGTCAGGTCACAGAGGTCAGCTTGGGGTCATCGGAGAGGTCACTTAGAGGTCGCAGAGGTCATATGGGACACGTCAGGTCACAGAGATCAACTTGGGGTCATCAGTGAGCTCAATTGGAGGTCATCTGGGACATGCCAGGTCACAGAGGTCAGCTTGGAGTAATCAGAGCTCAATTGGAGGCCACGGAGTTCATCTGGGACACGTTAGGTCACAGAGGTCAGCTTAAGGTCAACAGAGAGGTCATTTAGAGGCCGCAGAGGTCATATGGGACACGTCCGGCCACAGAGGTCAACTTGGGGTCATCAGTGAGCTCAATTAGAGGTCATCTGGGACATATCAGGTCACAGACCCAGCAAACATGCCCACATGGGTCCCATATGGGGTGAACATGGGCCAGATGGGCCCACGTGGGACATGGGCTACAGATGGGCTACCCATATGGGCCCCATATGGGATCAAGATGGGCCAAACGCATGTGGGCTGGAGATGGGCATCCCATGTGGGTCCCATATGGGGTGAACATGGGCCAGATGGGCCCACGTGGGACATGGGCTACAGATGGGTTACCCATATGGGTCCCATGTGGGCGCCGCGTGGGTCCCATATGGGGCCTACGTGGGCTGGCCCATATGGGTCCCACGTGTTACCCACTGCCATTCCCATGTGGGACCCATATGGAAGAGGTGGGGGGCCCATGTGGGCCCCATATGGGAACCATGTGGGCATGTTTGCTGGGGAGGTCAGCTTGGAGTCATCAGAGCTCAATTGGAGGTCACGGAGGTCATCTTGGACACGTCAGGTCACACAGGTCAGCTTGGGGTCATCAGAGAGATCATTTAGAGGTCACAGAAGTCATTTGGGATACGTCAGGTCACAGAGGTCAGCTTGGGGTCATCAAAGAGCACAATTGGAGGTTACGGAGGTCATCTGGGACATGTCAAGTCACAGAGGTCAACTTGGGTCATCACAGAGCTCAATTGGAGGTCATCTGGGACATCTCAAGTCACAGAGATCAGCTTGGAGTCATCAGAGAGGTCACTTGAGGTCACAGAGGTCATATGGGACACGTCAAGTCACAGAGGTCAACTTGGGGTCATCAGAGAGGTCACTCAGAGGTCGCAGAGGTCATATGGGACACGTCAGGTCACAGAGGTCAACTCGGGGTCATCAGTGAGCTCAATTGGAGGTCATCTGGGACATATCAGGTCACAGAGGTCAGCTTGGAGTCATCAGAGCTCAATTGGAGGTCACGAAGGTCATCTGGGACACGTGCAGGTCACAGAGGTCAGCTTAAGGTCAACAGAGAGGTCACTTAGAGATCGCAGAGGTCATATGGGACACGTCAGGTCACAAAGGTCAACTTAGGGTCGTCAGTGAGCTCAATTACAGGTCATCTGGGACATATCAGGTCACAGAGGTCAGCTTGGAGTCATCAGAGCTCAATTGGAGGTCACGGAGGTCATCTGGGACACGTCAGGTCACACAGTTCAGCTTGGGGTCATGAGAGAGGTCACTTAGAGGTCACAGAGGTCATATGGGACATGTCAGGTCACAGAAGTTAACTTCGGGTTATCAGAGAGCTCAATTGGAGGTCATCTGGGACATGTCAGGTCACAGAGATCAGCTTGGAGTCATCAGAGAGGTCACTTGAGGTCACAGAGGTCATATGGGACACGTCAAGTCACAGAGGTCAACTTTGGGTCAACACAGAGTTCAATTGAGGGTCATGGGGGTCATCTGGGACACGTCAGGTCACAGAGGTCAACTTGGGGTTATCAGAGAGCTCAATTGGAGGTCATATGGGACACCTAAGGTCACAGAGGTCAGATTGGAGTCATCAGAGAGCTCAATTGGAGGTCACTGAGGTCATCTGGGACACATCAGGTAACAGAAGTCAACTTGGGGTTATCACAGAGGTCTGTTGGAGATCATGGGGGTCATCTGGGACACATCAGCTGACAGAGGTCAGCTTGGGGTCATCATAGAGGTCATGTAGAGGTTACAGAGGTCATATGGGACACATCAGGTCACAGATGTCAACTTGGGGTAATCACAGAGCTCAATTGGAGACCACGGAGGCAGCTGAGACACGTCGGTCACAAAGGGCAACTTGGGGGCATGTCAGGTCACAGAGGTCAACTTATGGTCATCACAGAGCTCAAATGGGGGTCTTCTGGGACATGTCAGGTCACAGAGTTCAGCTTGGGGTCATCAGAGAGATCACTTAAAGGTTACAGTCCAGAGGTCATATGGGACATGCCAGGTCACAGAGGTCAGCTTGGAGTTATCAGAGCTTTACTGGAGGTCACAGAGGTCATCTGGGACACGTCAGGTCAAATAGGTCAACTTGGGGTCATCACAGAGGTCATTGGATGTCATGGGGGTCATCTGGGACACGTTTTTGGAATTGGGAGAATTTTTGTGAAATAACATATTATGCACCATTTTCAACACTCTCGCTGGCATGGATGGAGGCTTCATAGACAACCTATCAGTTCAAGCTCTATAACTTGCATTAGCATCAACGGATTGCAACAAAATTTTCAGGATCTCAAGTTCAAACAATTTTACACGTACCACGTAAATTTCGAGACAATGACCCGAATGACCTGTGACCTCTTCCCCAAGGCAAGGTCAACTTGCGACAATGACACTACTTAGGACTGCAATTTCAATTTTGTAAGTTGTGTCATAAATCAGGCAACGTGCAATAGATTAAAATTACAATAACCCACACCAAAACACACTGTACCTACCCAATCAAGTTCTTCAGCACGCCTTAGGCCAGTGCAAGCACGTCCAAGGTCAAATCGCGTTTCTCCGACTTTCGGTTTGTTATTTTCATCAAGGTTTTGATAGGTGCTCGCACGGTAGCCATGTTGGGATAGGTGGATTAAATGTTAAATTATTTAAATATTTTAAAATAATTTAAGACCTGCCAAATCTAACAATACGCAGAATAATAACCAGCATTAAAAACTGTATTGGGAAACAAAGTTATATGTGAATCGAAAGGGTCCGCTAAAAATGACCTTGACCTTTGACCCGTCATTTCTCCGTAGTTTGACCTTGCCAAAACAAGAAAAACCAGCAGTAGCATCTCCAACATTGGTTGCATCATTGAGCAAAAAATTATTGAAATCTAAGGGGTCCTCCTTTCTCACCTGGCCACGTGGTCACTTCCACTTCCTGTATTACACATACGTGACCTTGATTCTGACCTTTGACCTACTATATATCAGTTCGTGCTGCTTGCCAAAGTAAGAAACTGATATTTTTGAAATCAGCTCTTCATGGACTATAGTTGTACCAATTTTTACGAGAATCCAAAGGGTCCGCCGAGAATGACCTTGAACTTTGACCTAAGATTCCTCAGTTTTTAGGGGGTGCCAAGCCTAGGTGATTTATTTTCATAATAAGCATGTCCTGCTCTATCTACCCTGTTAATTTAAATCGATTCTGAGGGGTCCGTTTTTGTCATTTTTTCCACGAATGTGGTGCTGGAATCCGAATCCGAATTTGAAGCCAACTTTATGAACGTACACTGATACTGATACTGATACTGATGCTGACGCCCTTATTTATAACACAATTGTGTCCTTGCTTTTATTAACAAAAATGCTGGCGCAAGTTTGAATAGTGCAATTCAAATTATCATTGGGATGATTTAGTAGCCAAACACTTTTTTTGCCATTTCAAAAAACGTGATTTCTTCAACAAATATCTGTCATAAAAATGACACTGATTAACTGCTCAGTTGTCTTTTGGATCTAAGTAGCATCAGTAAACAAGACTAGTTTATTGTTCTCCAAAAGCTGAAGCAGTTCAAAATGACTTTGATGCTTACCGATCTATTAGATGATACAAGCATTATAAAATTCACTATGCCCTGGCACCGAGTTTCTCAGATGTCCATACTATTTCATATGTAAAAAATGGCTCACATTGTAGACGTGGCTTTATTGTGATGCATTGCTGCTGATTGGGAGTAAGTAAGTACATACCTTATACCCTGTACCACAGATAACAGTAGTACTGGATTGGAAACAGAATATTGGCAGTTGCAGTAAGAGGCCGAATGTTTTTATGCGACGGCGCCAAAATGAGATTCTCGCGTGCTGCTGGGTGGATCATTTGTGTGTTGTGTATTGCAAGAAATCGTCATTTTTGTGTTTTGTCGTTTACATTTAAAATCGAAGCTACCAATGTTACTTTCATTTGCTTAAAAATTAAAGTATTTCACTTTTAATTTGATTATTTAGAGGGCACAATGCGTGGTGTTTTCTTTTGAAAACAAAGTGTGGTGCAAAGCCTCACATACGTATAGATACATCAACAATGGAGGAGGGGAATGAGCGGTAAAAAACTGCCGTTCTGGCTACAACCCAACGAACCAAGAGGAACAAAAGATTAAAACAGGAGATGTCTCACATGCCACCTATTCGCTTTTCTCACCGAAACATCTCTACGGGCTCAGTGAGTTGGCGCCATCATGGGTCGCCGTGACCGGGCTGAGTGAAATCAGGACTATTCCGCTGCATGTGTGAGCTGCATTTCAGAAAGGAAGATTTCGAAGATGATCGGTCATTTCTCACCGGCATGCAGAGACAGCGCCGTCGGCTCAAGAGCGGCGCAGTCCTGTCAGTATTGACCAGCGTGGATTACGCGATGCCCCCTGTGCACGAGCGGCCAGCAAAACTAGCCATGGCATCCGCACGCCACTCACACCAGAAGCAGGTTAGGAAGGACCAGACCGATGCGTTCTTCACGAATGACAATGTCAGCTATCAGGTGGCAACTACAACTGGCCGAGTGTCCGACAGTTCCTGGAGAATGAGGCGGTACTCCGAAGTCGAACTAAGGGCCTCAGATGGTGGTCACTGGTCACGTTTCAGCCCCGCCGACGCCTCCGCTCGAGTGGCACCATCAGCATCACAGCAGGAGCGACAGCAGGATGGTGCTCTTGTCATCCAGGAGCCAGTGGCCGCGGTGGCGAAATCCACTGAAATGGAGGACCTGGATGACAGCGCCAAGGCCTCCCTGGGACACAGCTCTGGCGCCTTGGCACGCTCGGCCACCAGGCGTAACGAGTACGGTGCCTCCGCCAGCCTGCTGATCTATCTTGGGGCTACGCCGCTAGAGTACGACTGGAGAAAGACGAAGAAGACATCGACCTCACCGTGAGGATCTGCCATATTTGGAGGCAGCTGCCGAAGACGGAAGCTAACAGGAACCAGCTGCTGGTCTGCGATCAACCAAGAAGTGACGAAGATAGTCGTAAACCGGGATGTCGAACTGACCGGAAGTCGTTTGCAATGATAGCCACGACGTCCTTAGGAGCCTCCTTCCAGAGATGTATGCGACGGTTTTCAATCTATTTGCTGGAAAATGTGGAAACATGGTAACTGATAAGTGAGGCAGACACTCAAGACAGTGCTGTCCATCGAAAGTCAGGAAGCAGACACCCCAGCGGCAATCGGGTTGCACCCCAGGTGCAACCCGATCGAGGAGCGACAAGAGGCCAAAGCTCAGCAGGGTCAAGAAGATGTAAGGCGGGGAAGTAAGATCGCTGATGAAATTGGGAGGGCAGGCGAGGCGAAGTGACACTTGAAGGGGTGTTTTGTGACGTTGGTTTGAATTGTGACGTTTGGATGGTTCGTTGTGACAGGACTGGTGTCGATTAGAATGTAAATAAAGAGATCAAACTCCCATGTACAAGAACTTTTTGTGGATGAGAGTGGGAAATCATTATAATCAAATCAGTGGCATACGTGCCCTCACCACGGTGAGGAAAGTGTAACCAGCAACGTTTAGTAAAATAAGTTGCCATTATGCAAAAAATGCATCAATAAACACGAGCACGGCTAGATAGCTTCTTATAAGTTTCATTCACATAAACCAATAATTTTTTGTTGCCTGTGAGAGGAGATATCAAAGTCTGGGCACGAAATATTCGGTTCTGTTTTCGGCCTCTTACTGCAGCCACCGGAATCCTGTTTCCAATCCAGTACTACTGTTATCTGTGCCTGTACTATTGGTCTCAAGATAAGGGCCCAGTCGACCTGCAGTTTTGATGTGGTGAATACCCTTGCCCTCGCCACAGCTCGGGCTGAGTGTACCCCTCCTTCCACTCAGTGGCCCAGCGCCACCCCCACTCGAGTTGTGGCAAGGGCGAGGGTATTCACCACATCCATACTTAAGGTCGCCTGGGCCCTTATCTTGAGACCAATAGTACCTCGTAGGATACGAGTTGCGATGTCTTCTTCACCTGTCTTGCTTGCTCTTTGATTGAATTTCTCTATCTTCTAGATCATCTGTGATACTGCTGATGCAATAAAATCCTAGTAATGTTGCTCAACAAGATAATGAATGTAGGGATGTATGCACTCTGTTTGCTGTTTTGGTACAAATGCCTCTCTGGTCAATAAAAGCAGGTGTTTTCTTTGCAGTTTGTTAATTTATTGTGCAAGGCAATTTTACTTCCAAATGCCAAAGCTTTTTTACAATGGTACTCAATCCAACACTATTTTCCGAAGGCCATGTTACTGAATACTGACTAACCTAAATACTTGACTAGTAAGGCTCAAAACAATATTTAATGCATTATCTATGCAAACCAGACTCCACCAAGTTACAACCAAAGTGGGACATCTTACCATACCTGTAATGTAAAATGTCCCTTATCAGTTGAAAGTGTACTTAGATATGTCAGGATGACAACTTGTGGTGTTAAGTTCAATAAGGTTCAGTCAGTCTCCATCTCCAACGTACTACTTCCGAAAAAAACAAAAAGCGAGTACCTGTGCCATTTATTGATTACTGGGCTGCAGATGTACAGTGCGCAGACGAACGTTGAAAACGGCGAGCCGTCGCGCTTGGGGAACGAAGCCAGCGGCCACGTATTATGCTAGGTACTTTCCAACTACCTCACTCAAGTTATTTGGTTAGGTCATAATGATAAAACGCAATTCATATCAGAGCAAACTCCAGGCGTAGTTTATATAGCTGTTCAGCATAACTCGTTTTGACACCCTTTAATAGTACAGCATGTGGTTTGGCACGTTAACACCACAAAGTCATCAACAAAGCAAACCAGACTTGGCAGACTGGAGAACAAATTAGGCTCAACGAGGATTCGCCTCGTGACCGATTACAGAAATAATCATTGAAAGAAACCTGGCTATCAAAGCGATATCGTGTGGAAACGTTGGAGTCGGCCCGCCCGGAATCTCGGCTCCCCGCCGAGGACGCAGGGCGACTCCCGGCAGCTCTTGTACCAACGCCAAGCGAGGTCGGAGCCAGTCGCGAAGTGGGCGCGCCGTCGGACAAGATGAGGGCCCGCGCGCACCGTTTGGACGACGGCCGATAACCTGCCACAGGGGGAAGGGGGGGGGGGGGTCGTACATGTATGTTAGTGAGTGGTGAAGAAAAGAGCAGAAATGAATAACGTGTACTCTTAACAATTGATCACAAATGTAGTCACTATGATGAGCCATCAAGAGCCATACGAAAGCGTCACGCCGACGTTCACATTCCGGAAATGAGTATACGCAAAGCGAAATACATTTGCAACTATACATGCGTTATACACGTCATATAAAAAGTAACATTATCAGCTCCAGATCGACTCACCCCCGTCATCTCGCAGCTTGGCATCTGCGACACCAGCTCCGGGTGGGCTGCAGTACGGCCAGGTACAGCGGCGTGCGACCGT